ACTATTAAAATCAAGGGAACTTTTTCATCCGTCACTAGTTTACCCATATGAATTTTTTAACCAGAAACGTGATATTTGTACACACATTTTTTGAGACTTATTAATATTAAGATTCCTTGCAGCAGATTGCGCACTGCATTACATAGAGTTGACTCATGGGGGATTGTGAATAGATGGGCACAAATAATACCCCGTCGAAGATATTCAGTGGCTGGACCCAATGCACTTTGGCATATTGATGGTCACCACAAACTGATTAGGTGGAAATTAGTTATTCATGGTGTAATAGATGGATATTCAAGATTGATAACATATTTAAAATGCAGTAACAATAATCGTTCTTCAACTGTATTACAATATTTTATTGAGGCAAAAAATGAATATGGATGTCCTAGTAGAGTTCGAGGAGATCGTGGTGTTGAAAATTACAAGGTAGCTGAATGGATGCTAGTCAATAAAGGTTTAAATAGGGGAAGCTATATTGGGGGGCAAAGTGTACACAATCAAAGGATTGAGAGATTATGGAGAGAGATGTCCATAGAGTTGTTGTCAGTTTGTATTCATCTATTTTTTATTTTTTAGAACAAAGAAATTTTTTAAATGTTGAAAACACATTACATCTGTTTTGTCTTCATTATGTGTATATTCCACAAATAAATAGAGCACTTGGTTTATTTTCGAATTCATGGAACTATCATTCAATTCGAACTGAAAACAATTTGACACCTAGACAGCTCTTTATTCGTGGCACATTTCAATCAGGTATAGGTGATTCTGTAATTGATGATCAATATGGCATAGATTGGGAAGGACCAACTCCAGAATTTGAATCTGATCAAATAAATGTCCATATTGACTCTTTATTGAATGAAGAACAACTTAGAATAGTAAGCAATTCAATAGACCCCTTAAGAGATGATAATAATTATGGAATTTTCATATATTTGGATACTCTACAATTTGTATCAAATTTGTTGATTAATAATATATCAGAATGAATTTAAAAAATTTATTACAAATAAATGATTTAATAAGATTATTGCTTTATTGTTAATTTGGGGTCTGTACTAGGAAAATCAAGCTTCCAGCTATTTTTTTTTTTTTTGTCTTTTTACTCAATAATAATCTCTAATAAAGGATTTACAGTTGGTGAAAAAATTGGACCCTAT